ACATTTGCACAGCCATCAGCTGTTCCTGCTTCCCTGCCAAGTGACCAACCCTCTGGCCCAGGTGACACTGCGTTGGGAATTCCCCCTGGAGGAAGTCCCAGGGGATGGGATCGACATCTCCTTCGATGTGAATAATGGCTTCACCATCCACTGGCCTGAGATTCCTTGGCCGGCCCTCTCCTGCTTGGCCAGCCTGGGTGGCTTGAGACAAATCTCTACCAAGTACATGCTGATCTACATCAACTGCGTGTGGGCCTGGGGCCTGGGTGGACAGAGCAAGGGAGGATATGGGGGGAGATGCCCCCTTTAGGGACCTCAGATATGGGTTCTGTGGATTATGGAACTCTAAACAACCGACCAGCTTTCAACGACACCCCATGTAGTCAACTATCTTGTCCAGCCAGCCAGCCAATCAGCTACTGAGCAGCCACTGGCCTTTCCGTCCATCCACACTCATCCTCACCCATGCCGCACCATTCTATCCATGTCTTCCCTCAAATCATCCACTCACCCATCCTCCATCTGTTCCAGCAGCTACCCATCCTCTATCCGTTCAACCAACCCAATCATTCATCCGCTATGAAGGTAACCATCCCGTCATTCATTTCATTCAGTTGTTCTAACAATCAGTTCAACATGCTTGTCCCCATTTCTCCCCCATCTTCTCCATGGCAGACCCATCTTCCTCCCCCACACCCACCGTCCAAGCTTCAGCAACATCAGTCCAGCTGGGAGAAACTCTGGTGTGACTTGGACAGCTCTGGGTGAGCTGGAGATGGCTGTGGATCTTATCCAGGGCGGAAGGTAAGCAGAGGGGAAGACAAGACTGCGTATGTGTGTCTGTGGTGACGGTGTGTTGGCCGAGAGCATGGGAGTGAGGAATTAGGATGAGGGTCGGGTGCGGTCGTGGCCGAGTGGAACCACTGCTGGACTGTTGCTCTGAGTGCCTTGGGCAAGTCGTTTCCCTTTTCTGGGCCTCAGTTTCCTTGTTTAGGTTACTGTATAAAATGTATAATGTATTCCTTCGTTAATTTATCCAACAATAATTACTGAGCACCCACTACATGCCAGACATTGTGCTTAGCGCAGAGACCACAAGGATGAGGCAAAAAGACCTCTGACTTGTGCTGTCTTCCAGCGTACAATCTACCCAGGGAGGAAGAAGTGGGAAATGAACATGATCATGGAGAGAATACCAAGCGCTACATCGAGGATACAACAGGGCAATGTGATAGGGTCTTCTTAAGATAGAGCGGTCAGGGAGTCTTCTCTGAGGTGACATTCAGGCTGAGGTTGGACTGGCCCAAATCTCACGAGCATGGGGCTGGGGCAAGTGCTCAGGCCCTATGGCCGGTGTGTGTGTAGTAAGAGATGGACGAAATCATGTAGCAACTGTTTCCTGGGCACCTGCCGTGGGCCAGACCTTCCTAAAGGTGTTGCTCGACAGGTGGTAGTGATGGTCCTTCCTCTCAAAGAACTTACCCCCATAACCCTCAAACATCTGGAGAGCAGTGGGTCACACAGTAGATGCACCAGCACTGACAACTTCAGGAATTCCTAAAAGGGCTTCTTGGAAGAGCTGGAATTTGATCTGAGCTTTGGAGGGAGGGCTGGACCAGCAAAGACATGGTGAAGGTGAGCTCCCCAGAGGCCTTAGGAGGGAAAGAGTGGGGGATCATTCTCCCACTTGTCCGCAATGGAAACTGAGACCCAATAAGGGGAAGAGAACACACAGATGGTTGGGAAGACATGGCTTCACTGTGCTATAGCCTTGCCCCAGACACGTTCCTTGGAATGGCAGGATGACAAAAAATCCAGCCCCAAACCCCAAAGTGTTTTTAGGAAAACACTGCCTCTTATAACCATCACCTGCCTTGGAGATTCACAACTCATATGCACACGTGACAGACTCGGTGGTCTGAGTCTCTCCAATTTAATTTTGCTTGACTCAGTGTTTTCCAAACAATTTTCATAATAGAACCCCACCTCCTGCCCCGCCTTGGGGAGGTAGCACCCATAACAACCACACAAAACCAGGGTGCCATACTGGTAGGGGGTACTGCTCCCAGCCAAGTTACTTCCTGCATTTCCTTGAGTCAGAGAGGAGACCCCAGCTTCTCCCCAGGGACTTGAGAAGCTCACATTTGCCACAAAGAACCTGGCCTTTCAGGTGCTCTGATCTGCATGTATGACCTTGGACGAGTCCCCATCCCTGAAGGAATACACAGTGCCTCTCATTTGCCTGAGTCAGAGAGGACACCTGGGCTGGCTGATGGACAGTTATTTTTTTGTCCCTGCAGTTGGGCCGACCCCCCATGTCAGCGAGTGGGCCAGTGTTGTTCGCTGAGAGGGCCAGGTGCTGTAGGAGGCAGGGAGCACCCTGTATGTGGAAGAGGCCCGGGCTGGGGACTCTGGCATCTACACCTGCCAGGCCACCAACTTGCAGGGCACGGGGATTGCCACCACCCGTGTACGTGTGACCAGAAGCTCTCATGTTTCCCTTGCCCCTTCCTAGCTCCCTCGCTGGCTACAGGCATGCTGGTGTGAAGCAATGGGCAGAAACAGGGGTAGGTAACTGTGTGAACCTTTGGTGTTTTTGATGCCAAGGAGCTGTCACTCCCAAAAGAGTGCAAAAAGAACCTTTGCACTCACCCCTTATACTCTGCCCGCCCATCACGGCTTCTATGCCTTGCATCAACCTCACAGCCTCCCTTCAAGCCCTGACCCGTTTTGATGGCCAGCCTTCACTCCAACATCAGGCCCCACTCCAGGGCTGGGCAAAGCTGGGCCAGTGGGGCACCAATACCCCAGGAGGGAGCCCAGAGCCACTGGCAAGTCACTCAGGCCCAGGACATACTCCTCAATGGTCCCTGCCACTAGCAGGGGTCCTCAGTGAGGAGCCTCCTCCTCCCTCTCCCAGGAAAACACCGGGGCCAAATAAATACAATACCATAGTTTCCATGGCTTGTCTGCCCCAGGGTGAGGGCATGACCACAGTTTATCTCCCTGCCTCCACCATAGGCTACATGAGGGAAACCCTGCTCCCCACAACTTGCCCCTTCTGCAGCCTAGCCCTTCTCATCTTTCTAAAGTGCATTCTGCAGGCTGAAGTGCTTAGGTTGGGGTAGGAAGTGGTCAAGGGAGTTTAGAAAATGCTGGATACTCTGCTTCCTTCTTGGAAATTTGCAGTTCACATTAGCATATTAAAGGTTCTGAGAAGTCCTGCACTTTGCAGGATCTGTTTAACTTGACTGAATCTAGAGTTTCTCAAATTACTAGGCTATCAATTTTTTTCTTGGTCATGCCTATTAATGTGCAATGAACTAGTGTATCCCAGACAGACTTTGGGAAAAGTTACATGAAGAAGTACCTGTGTACTTCACTCCAGAGCTGTCCCCAAGGCTCCCGGATAGATAACCTGTTTGCCCATGGCTGGAGAAGCAGCTCAGCACTCCCCTAGCCCTCCTAGGGGAGAAATGGAGAAACAGAGTCACATCTGAACTCCTCGAACAAGAAATGGCTGAAGACCAGATCCAGGGAATGAAGAAGGCAGTCTGGGATGATGGAGCAAACCTTAGTTCTACTGGATTGACCTTTCTTACTTGCTAGTCTGGGACCTGGAGCTGGAGCTGGGGAATCTCAGGCAAGGCCCTCCGACTCCCGTGATCTCAGTGTGCTCTGCTGCTGAAGAGGGGTAAGAACTGGCTTCAAGAATCTTAGGTAGCTGATGGGAGGGAGGTGTCTGTGAGAGCATTGAATTAAAATGCTCTGGGCAGGGGAGGGGTTCTCATTATAGTGTCCAGCTGACCCGAAGCTTCCTGAGAAGAATATTAAGTCCACAGACGGCCAGGGCTGGACAGGGCTGCTGAGGTTGCTCACTCCGGCCACCCCTCTGCACGGATGGGGAAGCTGAGGGCCAGGCTCTGGGGTCCTGGTGCCTGGCATCAGTGGTGGTAGAAGGAGTAAAGGTAGGGAGCAGGAGGAAGAGAGAGCCTGGAAGTGGGTGGGGGCAGGTAGAGGAAGGAGGAGAAAGACTAAGTCATACATCTGATCTTTCCAGAGCCTGTGGAGAAAAACAAGCGCAGCAAGCTATGAGCTGGATGACAGATGAGGACTAGGACCTCATCTTTGTGGGTCCCACTCCCCACCTTGGTTTCCTCATCCGGACAGGGACGAGGTTCCCCACTCTGGCAGTTAGGTGTACCCAGATCCACGAGGTGGCCCCGGGCCCAGGTGGCACCGAGACCGAGAGACCCAGAGGGCTGAGGAGTGAGCCTTGCCTGGTCAGGGAGGAGGAGCTCTGGCTTAACCCCTGGGCTGACCAGACTCTGGGCCCAGGAGCAGTGGCATGCCCCGGGTCATGCCCAGCCCTTGCCTTGGCTGGGTCGGGCCCTGGCACCGCCAGCCCCAAGGGCCTCCAGTGACCCCCTTTCTAGCTGCCCGCCTTTCCCTGTTGGTTCTCAGGGTTTGGCCCACTTCCTCTCCTGTCCCCCAGCCCTTCGTCTGACCTTTAAGCAATCCTAGAATGGGACACTGTAGTGACTCAAGGATCATTCGTTCAGTTCCCCTGGCTGTTTTAGAGGAGAGGTAAACTGAGGCTAAGGGAGGGCCTGAGCAGAGGCGAGAACATCTGGGGGATGCTAACGAGTCGGGAGCAGAGGGTTGTCTCTTTGTCAGGTGGCCTCGGCGGCACTGGCTGCCCCCGGAAAAAGCTCAGGACTTCCCTGACTTGAACAGAGAGAACAGGGAGGGACGGAAGGACTCCTCGCTGGCTCCCTGGGCCAACTCAAGGGAAGGTGCATCTGGGGCCTCAGAGCCCCATGGGTGATCCTGCACAGCCCACGCCCCCAGGGCTCCCTGGGCACACACCTTGGCTCCCACCTCACCCCTGCCCTCCGCCCTTCCTGGGAAGGGAATGAGAGGCTCCTGCTGTCTTCTCTGGTAAATCCTCAAGAGGGAGCTGTGACCACAGGCGTCATGGCGGGCCCAGGACCCGGGCCCTAGCTGGCGAGGAAGGAGACCTCGGTGGGGGTGACAGAGGCCAAGGGGAAGGCAGGGGAGGCGTCAGTCCCCAGCACCCGGTACAGCAGCTCCTCCTTCTCCTGCTGGAGCTGTCGCCGCAACTGGGACTCCTTCTCCAGGGCCTCGCGGGCGAGAAGCAGGTCGTCCGAGAGCTGCCTGTGGATGCAGACAGGGGCCCGGGTTGCCAGTCAGCAGCTGCCCCGAGCAACCCGGGCCTCTAGGAGGCCTTCCTCAGAGGGGCCGCCAGCCCACATCAGGGCCCCCACAGCTGGGTCGTCTGCCTGGATGCAAGAGGTCACTGGAGCCCTGACGGAGAAGCGCGGCCCTCACAGGCAGACATCTCCGGGTTCAGGTCTGCCCCACCACTTAGCTGGGTAACCTCGAACAAGTTCTTTACTCCTGCCAAATTTCAGGGTCCTTCCTCATTTGTAAAATGGGAGTGATACTAGGTGGACCGTCTCTTTGAGTAATTATGAGGATTAGGTGAGATAATATGTAAAGAATTCAGTGAATTCTGTTTGACACACGATCCTGGCTCTCATTTACCAAGCCTGTAGAACAGGTTCATTCATTCATATACATTAATTCATTCACTCATTAGGTCACCCCAGCTAGAAATTTCCTGTCCCCTCTTCCTGTGTTGGGCTTTGCCATGGAGCCGACTCAGCCAGGATGGGGACAGATACCAGTCAGGGCACTGAGACCTAGGTTTCTGGGCAGAGCTGGTCCGTTGGGATTCTTGACTCTCAAGGAAAGAGGGAACCACATTCCCCAGAAAGGCATGGGCCCACCTGTCAATCCATTCCCTGGGTTCTCTGAGACCCTTCCAACTGGAGGTGTGGACCATGGTGGTGATGGGAGGAAAGGAGGCTGGGAGACAGCTACCTTGACATAACCATCTGGTTGCGGGCCCGGACATGGAGGTCCTCGTTCTCCTGCTGCAGGGTGGTGATTTTTTCCTCCAACATCAGATTTTTTTCTTTCTGTAACAAATCAGAAGGAGCTCAGAAAGCCACCGACCGCACATGGCACAACGTAGGGCATCGCCTCCCTCTTATCTGTGGTCGTGAAAACACTGACTCATTCTGGACTCGATGTTACATTTCGTGAAGCAGTAAGATTACTTTAAAAAACATAACTGAGGAGTGAACACAGGGCTGCCAATTTTTAATTTTGCCACATGAGACGTAGCAAAAGAATACAGCCACTCCCATCTAACGTCTCCATCGGTGCGTAAGGGAAAGGATATTTTGGTTCTCCAAAGTCAGAAGGATATAATCTATATAAATAAAATTACATGTGTCTGTTATGCTATTCCACAAAAATGGCTGAACAGAATTCACAGGGAACATCGGAGATGGTCAGATTAGAATAGAGGTTGTGTGGCACACGCAAGCAGGGAGACTTCTTCTGGAGTAACACAATCTCTGTTTGGATTCCACCCGAGGTTCCCAAGGCCTCCCTTTTCCTGTAAACAAAGCCATCAGTGTGTTCCATGCCCACCACTCCCCAGGCCTGTCCTTGGTGATTCTGGCCTCCTTTCTGTCTGATTTTTTGGCCTTGCCTTCCTCCCCAGCCCCTGCCTGACATCGGCCAGCCCCTCCTGATTAGCCAGGGTACCTGCCCTGGTGTCCCCCAAGTTAGAGCAACAGGAGTAGCCAAGAAAGCACAGGGTCCCTATGAGAAGGGGCCACTGCTTGACCCAGACTGGCCACAGACCAGCCTCAGCTGTCTCAAGGGCCAGCATGGGCGGCAGGTCAAAGCAGGTGTGGCCCAGGATGGAACCTCCTCAAAGTGCCTTCCCTCCACACACTTTACAGAGAAAATGCCCAGGAAGGAGAAGCCTGAGGCCACATCCTCCCAGCTGCTTCTAAGCACAGACCACTGTTTCCATGAGGATCAGCCGCTTGTCCAGCTCGTGAATGCGCTCGTTCTTCATCTCGATGACAAAGTGTAGGCTCTCCAGTTCCTGCTCCCAGAACTGGCTGGGGCTCCCGTAATCCTAGACAGGGACCCAGAATGATCGCATCAGACCAGCGGGCAGAGGGAGAGGGGCACGGGCTACCTGCCGCTTTCCCGTTCTGCCTCCAAATCACTGTCTGCCTCTCACAAGTCACTTCCCTCCCTTGGCTCACCGTAAGTGAGCTTGATATGCTTGATCTCCTTCTGGCCTAATAATAACCTCTGTGGCAAGCCCTATTCCCACCATAGATGAGGAACTGTAGCTCAGAGAGGTTGAGTTGTTTATGCTAACTGGTAGGTTAGCTCTTTGTACCTAGTTCCTTCCGAATCCAGAGCCCAAGCGCTTTACTATCCCCTATGCTTCTCTCTCACCCTTACTTTCCCCCTCAGTGACGGGCAGACCCTGTTTCGTCCAGGCCCTTGTGAAAGTAAGAGTGTCAGGTCTAGCCCTGGCCTTGAAGAGGGCCTGGCCTTTCCTGTTGCCTGGGGCCTGACCTCCCCGGAGATTTGAGAAGGAAAAGCTCCTGGGTGTACTGCCACCTGCCTGGATGTGCTTCTTATAGTCTCGGCTCAGAATGGACTCCTCTACCCTCTTCATCTTGGCCTGGAAGACCTCCAGCTGTGAGGACAGTCCATCTATGGTCTCCTGGAGAAGGGGATGGGAGGGAGATGGTCAAAGCCTGGTTCATAAAGGCTGGAGGTGGACTTCCGCACATCCCACAGAGGGGGCAGTTTGGGTTCTTCCGTCTTCACTCTGCCCTACCCACCAATGCAGGCTTGATTTGCCTTAACTGCTGCCTGAAACATATAAGCCCCATCTCTGGTCATAAAGCCTTTAATGACTCCCAGTGCGCTCGGAGACAACGTCCGGGTGTTCAAGGCTGGTGGTGTTAGCTTGGTATTCAAAGCCCACCCAAGCCGAGCTCTGCACTTTCCCAGTCTTCCCTCTTAGTCCTCCCACTTCCAGGTGCGTTTTTGCCTCCTACATTCCCCTCCCAAGAGCTTCCCGCACCCAAACCTTGCCCAATACCTTCAGGATAGAGCACGCCTTTCATACGGCTCATGGGTCCTACCACTGGGCTCTCGCCTCCTCTCCGGCCTCGGCTCCCACCCACTCATACTCTTCATCCCAGGACATCTTGGACTTCTTTCAGTTCCACAGGTAATCATATTTCCCTCTCCTCTCTATGTCTTTAAGCACACTGTTTTGTTTTGTTTTTTTTTTTCCTACCTGGGGCACCCCTCTTACTCTTCTTCATAGGAAAAATTCCAACCCATCCTTCAGGTTCCAGCTAAGGTTTCATCCCTGTGGGAAGTCCCTGACCTGAGAAATTGGCTCAGACGCCTTCCTTCATGCTTCCATAGCTCCCTGTGCATCCACCTGCCAGTCTGGTCGCACCGTGGTACCCGGCCCATGGGGTCTCCAAGATCCTCCAACCACAGTCCTCAGAGAAACAGGCCAACCCTGATCTCACACCAAGTCCTCTTGAGCTAATAGCTCAGTCACCACCTCGAGGGGCTGGATACACAGAAGACACTCACCTCTGTCCCTCACACCTGAGTAGAGGCCAGGCGGCTTTCCCGCAGGTCCTCCCCTCCCCCGCAGAGACGGCCATGAGACTCCTCTCACCTGCAGGGTCACCTTGGCCTCCTGGAAGGAGTGGGCAAGGGCTTCCTTCTCTTGCTCATGTGAGGCCTGGAGGACTGTAGGGAAAGGAGATCTCCGTGAGCTGTGACACCCAGGCACTTTACTGTAAAGCCTTCCGGCAGGCCCCATAAGGCCCAGAGAAGCTGGGTGATCAGCTGGGGGCCCATGGGGGCCAGGGGGCTGGGGATGGTCTTATTCATCCTTCGTATACTGGGCTTGCAGCTGTGTCAGAAATATAGTAGATATTTAATAAAAGCTCATGGAAATGGAAACAAATTATATCTTGGGAGGAACTGTGAACGCTTCCAGATTATGGGAGGCACCCACGCCTCACTGAGGCTAAGACCCAAAGATCCTGCAGCAAGCTTGTTCACCATGCCATGAAAATGCATAGGGCCAATGTTTTGCAAGCTGGGTTACCCAAACTTTGAAACCATTAAATTGTTATTTCTCAAACCATGGCACAAAACTGCAGTAAGAACATTCGATCCGGGGCCAGGAAATCCACCTTGTCCTTATTCTGCTTCTTCCACAACAGAGGAACCTTGAGGAGATCACTTCAAATATTGAAACGTTCTACTGCCTCAACTGTGAAATGAATGGTCCTCAGGGATGACCAACGATGACATGAGAAAGGGATGCACGAGTGTTTTCCAGACCGGGCAGTGCTGTGCAGATTTGCTATTATTCCCCCAAATCAATATAGTTGTATTTCTTATCCCACCTCCTCTATAGAGTTCCTTGTGGAAAATCCCAACCTTGTCCCAGCTGAAAGAAGACAACTAGAAAGTGACCAATCAATGGATGGGATGGAAATAGGACAGAGAGGGCAGGGGAAAAAAAAGCTCCATATGACCAAAGGCCCGGGTATACAGTGGGCCCGTGTCATAGTAGGCAATGACACAGAGAAAACTACGTTCAGTCATAGTATAAATGTGACAGACAGTCAAAAATTCAAGAGATCAGCTGTATAAAAATTACAGGCTGAATTTTTTCCAATTATGGGCTGAATTTAATTTGCCTATCAAGACAGTTTCTGATTCCAGGTAAGCTAGAGGATGTACACTCCATACAGTTCGTCCTACTGAATGTAGCTATAAAACCTAGACAGAATGAGTGGAATAGCTATTTGCAGGCTCTGAAAAGTAAATGGTAGCAGGGAGGCTGGGCAAGAAGACCAGGATTTGAAGTCCCATGAAACCGAGAGTTTTAAACAAGACTCAAGAATCTCATGTTCTCAAATATTTCAGGATATAATACAAAATTGCTCAGCATATGAATCCAAATGGCCCAGCATACAAATCCAAAATGGCTCAGCACACAAATCCAAAATTGCTCAGCATACAAAGAAGCAGGAAAATCTTAACTTGGCTGAGAAAGACATTCGGCAGATGCCAACACTGAGATGCTACAGATGTTGGAATTATTAACAGAGACTTCAAGACAGCTGATATAAAAATGCCTCATGAAGTAAGGGTCAGTACTCTTGAAAAGAATGGAAAAATAGAAAGCCCTGGCAAATACATAGTAGCTATTAAAAAGAACCAAAAGGAAATTTTAGAACTAAAAAATGTAATAAGTGAAATTAAAAAAACCTCACTGGGTGGGCTCAGTAGCAGAATAGCGATGACACAGATAAAGAGCCAGTGAACTTGAATATGGATCAATGGAGATTACCCAGCCTGAACAACTGAGAGAAAAATGGTTGGGAAAAAATGAACAAAGCCTCAGGGACCTATAAAACAATCCAAAAATGTCTAACATTTGTGCATCAGAGTCTCAGAAAGAGAAGAGAAACAGTGTGGTACAGAAACTGTATTTGAAGAGAGAATGGTTGAATGCTTCCCAAATCTGGCAAAATATAAACCTACAGACTGAAGACACTCACTGAACCCCAAACAGCGGAAACCCAAAGAAATCCACACCCAGACACATCATTTTTGAAAACTAATGACAAAGAAAAAATCTGGAACTGACCCAGAGAAAAATGGTACATTACTTAGAGGAGACAGCAGTTTGAATGACTGTGGATTTCTTATTAGAAACCTTGGAGACTAGACAGAGTAAGAACATAAATAAGGAATAAAAACTGCCAAAATAAAAGAACTGTAAATCTAGAATCCTATAGCCAGTGAAAATATCCTCAGGAAAGAAAGTGAAACTAAGACATTCTCAGATGAAGAAACGCTAAGATAATTCCTCATCTGCAGACTTTCTAAAAGAACTGCTTAAGGGGGGGCGCCTGGGTGGTTCAGTCGTTAAGTGTCTGCCTTCGGCTCAGGTCGTGATCCCGGGGTCCTGGGATCGAGCCCTGCATCGGGCTCCCTGCTCAGCAGGAAGCCTGCTTCTCCCTCTCCCACTCCCCCTGCTTGTGTTCCTTCTCTTGCTGTGTCTCTCTCTGTCAAATAAATAAAAATCTTAAAAAAAAAAAAAAAAAAAGAACTGCTTAAGGAAATTCTTCAGACAGAAAGCAACTGATACCAGAGGGAAGCTTGGAACTTCAGGGGTATAGGAAGACCAACAGAACTGGTGAATGCCTGGGTAATATAATAGACTAGTTGTCGTCTTCTTCTCCCCTGGTGCTCTTTAAAATATGATTGATGGTAAATCAATGTTATAAATGGTATAACATAGTCTGATGGGGCATTCAATGTATGTGGATATAATACCTAAGACCAGTACAACAAAAAGGAGAGAGGATAGGGATCTACAGGATGGTAGGCTTAAAAAGATTTTTATTTATTTATTTGAGAGAGAGAGCACAAGCAGGGGGGAGGGCTGAGGGAGAAGCAGGCTCCCCACTGAGCAGGGAGCCCAATGGGGGGCTGGATCCCAGGACCCCAGGATCATGACCTGAGGTGAAGGCAGGTGCCCAACCAACTGAGCCACCCAGGCGTCCCAATGGTAGGCTTTCTACATCCCCCTGGAAATGGCAAAATGTGAATTCTAAGTAGACTCTTAAGTATTTTTTAATTCTTAGAGCAATCACAAAAAAAGAAGAACTGTACAAAGAGATATAATAAAAAAGACCAGAGACAAGTTAAAATGGAATACTAAAAAATGTTCAAATACTCCAAAAGAAAGCAGGGAAAGGAAAGTAGGGCATAAAAAACAGAACAACCAGAAAACCAATACAAAAATGACAGACCTACATCCAACCATATCAGTATGGACACGAAACTAAGTGGTCTAACCATCCTAAAGAAAAGACAGAGATTGTCAGGCTGGGTCTTCAAAAAAATACCCAACTATGTGCTATTTACAAGAAACCCACTTTAAATATATGTCACAGGTAGATTAAAAATAAAAAGGTAGAGAAAGCAACATGAATCAAAGGAAAGTGGTGGTGGCTATATTCATTTCAGATGAAGTACACTTAAGAATAAGGAACGATATCGGGGATAAAGACATTGACATTACATAATGATGGAGAGGTCAGTTCTCTAAGAAAACATAACAATCCTAAATGTTTATATACCTAACAAAGGAGCTTTGAAACACATAAAGCAAAAACTAACAGAACTGAAAGGAGAAATAGACAAATATACACAATTATAGTAGGGGATTTCAACACTCTTCAGCGTTCAGTAGAAAAAGGAGGCATAAAATCAGAATTTGGAGAACTGAACACTGTCAATACCCTGATTTAACTAATTTATAAACTACAACTTACAGTAGCAGAATACACATTTTTTCAAGTGCCCATGAAACACTCACAAGATAGACTATATCCTGAGTCATAAAACAAGCCTTAACAATTTATAAAAGGAGCAAAATACAAACTATGTTCTCTGACTATAATGAAATCAAACTGGAAATCAGTCACAGAAGGAGAACTATAAATCTCCAAACACTTATAAGTGTTCAATGAGCCAAAGAGGAAGTCTCAAGGGAAACTAGAAAATATTTTGCACTGAACAAAAATGAAAATAAAAAATATCAATCTGTGGGATGCAGATAATGCAGTGCTTAGGGAGAAATTTATAGCACTAAATGCTTCTGTTAGAAAAGGAGAAAAGTCAAAAAAAAAAAAAAGAGGGCGCCTGGGTGGCTCAGTTGGTTGGGCGACTGCCTTCGGCTCAGGTCATGATCCTGGAGTCCCGGGATCGAGTCCCACATCGGGCTCCCTGCTCGGCGGGGAGTCTGCTTCTCCCTCTGACCCTCTTCCCTCTCGTGCTCTCTATCTCTCATTCTCTCTCTCTCGTATAAATAAATAAATAAAATCTTAAAAAAAAAAAAGGAGAAAAGTCTCAAATCAGTAATCTAAGCTCCTAGTGTAAGAAATCATAAAAAGAAGAGCTAACTAAATATAAAGCAAGCAAGCAGAAGGAAATAAAGATAACAGAAATCAATGAGATTGAAAATGGAAAAATCGGGAAAAACATCAATGAAACCAAAAGCCGGTTTTTGGAAAGGATTAATAAAGTTGAGAAACCTTAAGCAAGACTGACAAAGAAAAAAGAGAATACACAAACTACCAATATCAAGAAATTAAGAAGGAATATCACCACAGACATAGAAGATATTTAAAACAACAGTAAGAGATTATTACGAGCAATTCTGTGCATACACACTTGACAACTTAGATGAAATGTACCAATTCCTGAAAAACCACAAACTACCAAAACTCACCCAAGGTAAAATACATAAGTTGGGCATTTCTATAACTACAAAAGAATTCAAATTTGTACTTAAATACTTTCTGGAAAAGAAATGTTTGAGAACAGATGGTTTCATTCACAAATTCTACTGAACATTTAAAAATGATACAATACCAGTTCCATACAATCTCTTCCAGAAATGAAAGAGGAAGGGACAGTTTTCAACTCATTCCATGAGGCAAGCAAACCTTGAAACTAAAACCAGATGGTACAGAACAACAGCCCTCAGGAACACAGACACAAACATCTTCAGTAAAATATTAGCAAATCGAATTCAGGAATATATAGAAAAGAATAATATAATGTGACCAAGTAGGGCTTATGCCAGGAATACAAGGCTAGTTCAAAATTTGAAACTCAAATCAATGTAATCCACAATATTAACAGTCCAAAGA